CAGGAATGCAAATGATCGAGTAGGAGTACTAGGATCCGGATGGGGATCCAGAAGCAGAGGATTCCCCGGGGAAGTTTGGAAGCAAATTAGTCCTTGTAGCGGTTCGTTTAGGCACAAACTTTCTGGCCCAAACATGCTTCCCATTGATGCTGAACTTGGCTTTGGAAGCCCCTCCGAGTATCATGTCAATGGTTGAAACCATGCGGAAAACAATGCGAGCGAAGAGCGCTTGTTCATTCGGTTGCACTTCCTGCATGTACAGCGCCTCAATGCAATCCCCATACGCCATCACAAAGAACTCTCTCACTTCCCACTCTTCAACGCGGTACCCCTTCGAGAACGTCACAAACAGCGTCCTCTCATCCGCCGCCACATTCGCCGGCCCAATCGACCCGAACCAGAACGGCCCATTGGCCCCATTCCCATGGCTGCTCCCTTGGTTTTGGCCCTCGTTCGAGTTCCTCACCATCGCTTGCTGCATGATGTCCGTGAAGGCCCTCACGCACACCTCTTGCACCACCTTCGCCACCCCCTCAACCGCGTTCACTCGGTTTTCCTGCATGAACTGAACCGATATCTCCTTGTCCACCATGCTTTGGAGAAGTGGAATCTCTGTGCTTTCCGAAGCTATTATTAAGTTGTTGCTTCTAATGCAGTTCAGACACATAACTGTTTCCTCCGCCACTTCGTTAATCAATATGTTGGGCAAGGACAACACCCTCTTCACCACGTTGCGAAACCCCACCCTCTCCAGCCACAGCCACATTGCGTATACCTGCATCGACTCGGTTGGTTCTCGGGAAAGGCTCATCACAAGGATCTTGTACAGTTCCCTGTCTGTTCTGTGGAACAGGTTGAACTCCTCTTGGCTCACGTAGAAAGAAGACCCGAAATCCATCACATGCAACACACTATCATATAATAATAATTATAATGTGAATATTTGATGAATGATCCTAGGCTTATACTTCATGGCACTTATAAATAGTGAAATTAAGAGTCTTAGGTCCCTTGTGAAAAGCTACGACCATTGGACATGAGGCGTGTCATGATGGTGAACCATGCATGTTTGGTGTGCGTTACGACTTACGTACGACCCTTGAACTTGTGGCTATTTACACTCAACAGTTTCAAGAAGAGCGTGTGAGGGTTGGCCAACTCAGATGCTCTGCAATGGATATCCTGAAGAGTGTGAGGCATGGCAGAAGAAAAGAAACTGATAGTGTTAAGAGGCTATACAGGGTGGCAATGTGTCTTTTAGTGATAAACAACAAATTGAAATGGTTATTATTGTCAGAAATCGAGATGTGCAAGCTCAGATTAATGAGTTACAAATTAACCGTCTTCGACCGTTTCTTAAGAAACACAAAACCAGTTGATTAGATCAATGGATTGGTCAAAGGAACCTGTTAATTTTATCTGATAGTAATCATGCATGTCGCAGGTTCAGTCACGGTATCCTCCCTTCGTTATCCAGCAAAGCAAAAAACTTCTTTAGTCACTCCTACCAAATCCTGAGATATCTTTCAATTAATTTCCTTAAGTTTATAAAGAAATATTAAATAATAAATACAAAAATAGTTAAGAGGAAAATATAGGGAGTTTTAGATTTAAAAAAAAAAATCACATGTTTTAACGGATACAAAGATTAATCGGTGGTAAATTTATTTAGAAGCACTTTTAAGAGAAAAAATAAGAAGAAAAAATGAAATAATTTTTTTCATAAATTAAAATTAGTTTATGCATAAGTTAATTTATAGAAAAATTTTAATATTAATTTCTCCAAAATTTTATTTTTGATTCATATATAATTTAGTTTTAATTTATGAAAATTTTTATTTCAATTGTTCTTCATATTTTTCTCTTTTAGAAATACTTTTGAAGAAACTTATCTAAATAAACTTTATATCAACTATATCAACCAGACTTTTTTAATACTAGTGATAGTATTTACATACAATAATGATATATGCATGTACAATTTTTAATATCTATGGTTTTTCAATTTTTTATCACATTATATCATTCATGTACCTGTTTTTATTTTATTTATATCTTTTTTTTCTCGCTTAATTTCAAATAACTCACAACCTTAATAATATATATATATATATATATATAT